TAACTGAGGAATGTCTCAAGTGTTACTTGAGACCAAGGAGATGGACACAGGTTTAAAATTAAACATCTCTTTTACATGTGTTTTGTTTTATTCATCTGAACTTTCCTCTTAGCCCCAATTGTTGGAGGTGTAGTTCTTCTTACAAATTTAACTATGTTTTCAAGCTCTATTCCATCATCAGATATTTTCTTTAACCAAAACACCCCAAAACTTAGTGGCTTAAAGCAACAGTCATTTCATCATCTCATGATTCTGTGAGTGACTGGGTTCGGCTGGACTGGGGTCACATGTGAGCTTGACTAGACCACACCAGCTGAGAGGGCTCTCACGGGACTCTCGGGTGCTAACCATTGGCTGGTGGCTCTGCTGGGCTGCTGACTGGAGGGGACACAGCTTCCTTTGCTGGGCTTCTCACAGCATGGTGGGGTGGCCTGTTTCTGAGAGGGAGAGTCCAGGAGAGACTGTTTCGGGAAAGCGGAAGATGCGTCTTCTTAAGGACCAGATGCAGAACTGCCACAGTTGTAACTTCTGCGTGTTCTCTTGCCTATGTAGTTACGGGGCCAGCCAGACTCCACGGCATGGCAAACACTCTCCTTTCTGATGGGACAGGGACAGCATTTGAACCCATCCGTGGGCTGCTGCAGGCTCCAGCTGATTTTTTTTTTTTATCCTCACCCGAGGACATTTTTTCCATTTTTTGTTCAGATAGAGCGGGAGGGAGAGAGAGGAAGAGAGAGAGAGAGAGAAACATCGATGTGAAGGGACACGAGTGTCTGCCACCTGCACGACCAACCAGGGCCAGGGACAAACTGCAACCAAGGTACGTGCCCTTAGTGGGAACCGAACCCGGGTCTCTCTGTACCGCAGGCCGACGCTCCAACCGCTGAGCCAAACCGGCCAGGGCTCCAGCTGATTTTTAAAGTATTTCCGTACTTGGGCCCTGAGCAGAGACGCTCTGCTTGTTGTTAAATGTGGTATCTGAGCAGCTACAGCGTTTGTCTATCTGCTCCAGGAAGTCCTCTTTGTGTTCTAATAAAAAATGTTCATTTTCCCACAAAAATCTTCCAGCCTGGGGGGTAGAGGGGTGTGGTTTCCATTTCTGTTACTTTGGAAGGAAGATGTGTCAGTTGGCAGTGTTTGAAGCTGGTGAGACCAACGCTTATTTCATCTTGGTAACCCCCATAGTTTAAAGCCCATTTTTTGATCCTTCCCACAATTTTGTTGATCGAATAAATGAATGAATATTTAAAGACAAAAGGAGCTAAGGCAACTAGAATTGGAGTGAGGCTCTCTAAATTAGCTGGTCAAAGCAATCACAGGACTTAAAAACCTCGACCCACTCCCTTCAGCCCACGGGTGAATCGCAAACTCCTTCCCATTCGGACTTGGTTTTCATTCTCTCCTTTCATTTTTCTCCCTGGCCTTACTACACACCTTGAGCTCTAACTCAGGACGTCTCAAGCCTGGTTTGAAGACCATCTGCGTCACTATTAAAAGTGCAGATCCTTGGGCCCCACGCAGACCTATGAAATCAGACTCTGGCAGGGTCCGGGAATCTGCATTTTAACAAGCACTCCGGGGACTGTCCTGTATACTAAAGTTTGAGAGTCACTCCTAACTCTCAACACCTTGCTATACTTTTGTAAGACTTTTCAAACACAGAAACATACCAGAGTAAATGCCACAATTTTCAGGTGGAAAATATCACCACCATCCACCAAACAAACAAAAAATAGAAAAGATCACCACCATCAGAGTAAGGAAGGAAGACTTCCTCCCGAAGAGGAGGGTCTATTCTTGAAGAAACAGCGCCCTGGCGGAGGGTGGGGCTCTCACCTGTGCGTGAGCCGGTCCTTTCCCATCTGTGCCCAAAGCCCTCTCGTCCTTTCTCGCTAAGTGTTCGTGGCCCCGTAACCTCAGCCGGCCTGCGCGCCCGTGCCCTTCACCACTGGATTTCTGCCCACGCTCTCCTCCCCTCCCTGGACGGCTGGACTCCGTCCTTTACACTTCAGACCCAAAGCAGACATTGCCTGCTGCCCCGATCCAGGTCCCAGGGACTTACCACCCCTGGCACCCCCACACAATTGCAGCTGTTTTCTTGTACGTTTTGGATGTAACTCGAATATCCTCAAGCGTCAGAGCCTGTGAGCACAAACGCAGTCCCCTCGGTGACCATACCCAATAGCACGCTGGTGGCCTCTGCCCCCGGGGAGCACCTGTTTCGGGAAGGGGTGCCCACACCCTGGTGCTGTGCGGTTCGGCCACCAATTTCTACCGGTCCCTCGTCTCTCTCCCCTGATGGCCAGAGCCCACGGCAAAATCCCTCCGCAAACTCATGCGCGGGGTCGGGTTGGTGGCGCCGGGTCCCAGCGTGGCCTCATCTCCTGCAGACGGATGAGCACAGGCTGTGCCACGTGCGCATCGCTTCGCGGAGACGCCGCTTTGAGCTGCGCGGGCGCCGGCCGGCTGGTGTCGCCGCGGGGCGAGGGGTCCCTGTGCCTCTGAGACGGCGCGGGGCTGCCTGGCGCCTCCTGAGCCTGGGTGCGCGTGAGGCTCTCCCACCCGCGAGCTGCAGTCCCGGGAGAACCTGCCCCCCACGGGGACTGCGCGGGAAGGGCGCGCCCCGGGCTCCCGCCGGCGACCCGAGGGGCTGGGGAGACGCGTGCGGGCCTCCGGGCAGCACGTGCGCGAGGACCGTCAGCCTCCTGCTTCCCCGCAGCAGGGAAGGAGGCGTCCTCGCGTGGCGGGAACTCTCAGCGGCCGGCTGAGCGCACCCCGTCGCCGCCTCCCGAGCCCTGTGCCCCGCGAGCCCGGCGTGGACTCAGGCCGCGTGGACGCAGCCTCCGGCCGGGATCACCGCCAGAGCCGCGCGCAGCCTGGGGACTCCGGCTGCGGGGCGGGGCCTCTCTGAGGGCGGGGCGAGGTTCCCCGAGGCGGGCCGGGGGCGGGGCCTCTCGTGAGGGCGGGGCAAAGCATCGTGAGGCGGGGCCGGGGCCTCCACTGAAGGCGGGGCGAGGTCTCGCGAGGCGGGCCCGGGGCGGGGCCTCCACGAAAAGGCGGGGCGAGATCTCGCGAGGAGGGCCTGGGGACAGGGCCTCGGCATCCCGGGAAGGGCGGGCCGGGTCTCGCGAGGAGGGCCGTGGGGGCGGGGCCTCGGGAGGGGCGGGGCGCCGGCGCCCGAGCTGCTGAGGAGAAGGGCGGGGAGCGGCGGCCGCGCAGGGAGGCGGCGCGTCACCTGACCGCTGCCCGCTCGCTCGCTGCCGTCAGTCGGCCCGCTCCGCGCCTCGGCTCCGGTGAGTGGCCCTGCCCGGGGTCCGGCGGTGGCGGCTGCGGGCCTGGGCGGGGGCGCGGGGCCGGCCGCGGGGTGGCGGCGGCCCCGGTTCCTGGAAGTGGCCGCGTCCGCCGGAAGGGGGACCCGCCGGCCCTCCGCTGACCGGCCGCGCCGTCCTTCTCCCCGGGCGCCGCCCCCGGCCCGCCCGGCTCCGCGCGGTCCTGCCGCCCCCCGCCGCCCGGTGTGCGGCGCGGGCGACACGTCGGAGCCGCGCGGGCCGGGCTCGCGAGGGTGGGCGGGGCGGGGCGGGGGGACGCGGACAAAGGCGGCGGGGCCGCGGTCCTGCGGGGCCGGTTCCGCGCTGGCAGCCCCGGGACCTGCCGCCGGCCCGTGCGCCCCGAGGGCTGGCGCGCGTGGGGGCGCCGGAGCCTTCGGGGCCGCGGGGAGCCCAGGCCGGCGACTCCTCCGGGCCGGGCCGGGCGGACCGGGGCCCCGGCCGCGGCAGGTAGGGTGGCTCCTTGGACCGGTTGGGCCGCTGAGTCATGGACCAGCCCGGGAGGGGACGCGAGCGCGGCCGTGGGTGCCGGCGTCACGTGCCCGCCCGGGGGGCGCCTCCGGCCGGGGGCCGCGGGGCCGGGCTCCTCCGCGTCGGGGCCGGGGCCCCTCGGGAGGCCCAGCGGCGCCCAGGCGGCCCGGACGGCCGCCGACACCCCGTCTGCTGCGGGGCCGGCCCGGGACGGGGGCGCCGGGTTGTCCCCCGAGGCGCTCGTCTTTGTTTCCCTGCCGCGGGGCGGCCGCCGGCCGGAGAGTGAGCGGAACTTGTTCGGGGGCTGTTGACGGGCGCGGGGCACGTCCTCCCGGCCGCGGGCTGGGGCCACGCTCCGCTGCAGGGGCGCGGGTCTCGGGGCGGCCTCGGCCGGGTCAGGGCGGGGTCTGCGCGGACCGTCTCCTGCTGCTTGGCGGGGGCCCAGCCCCCCGAACCCCGAGCCCCCCAGCCCCCGAGCCCCGTCGCTAACGGGGTTCAGGAACGGAAGTGTGCAGGGGTCCGGCCCTTACCTGTGGTCAGAGTGACTCATTTTTTGGTGGTGGTTTATTTAAAACATTTTTTATAAAAGTTAATTTTGTTCTAAATTTGGGACTAGAGATTAGAAATCGTGATGTTTTTCTTTTTTTTTGCATTAGGGTTTCTAAGGAGAGGTGCAAAATTATTCATTTGGAAGAAAATATGAAAACTTTGACTTTAAAAGTTTTACTTTTTTGTAAAATAAGAAAGACATCAACTTAAAGACACAGATGAGCAGAAGTACAAGCATATAATGTGGGTGCATGGCCCACTTTTTCTTTTGGGGTACATGAATTTGTTAGCCACTGCGAATAACATTCAACAACTGGAGTACTTAAAAAAACACCCTGATTTCCTGATTCTTTCAAAATGTTTTAAATATTAATTTAATTTTTATTGTATATCTAGGTCCATTCTTTTTATATTTTAAAGATTAGAAGCTTGAGTGTACATTTTTTATTACATTGTTGATGTCTGGGAAGGGAAATTTAAAAAGATTTGCCTATTATATTTGACGCCACGTATTTTGAATTTAGAGACAAGCTACGTGGTTGATTTGTTTAATGTATGTGATCTGAGGTGTATAATATGTGAAAGGATCCAGTGGGAACATCTGAAGATAGTCTATACATTCGAGTGCAATTTAGATATAAAATTTAAAAACAATTACTCTGTACCTGTTTCTTCTTGTAAGTCTGCATTTTTTTGGGGTCACGTGCACACCCCCTTTAACAGTGATTACTAAGACTATGTATTTAGCAGGTCACTTGGCAAGTGGCATTTCCCTCTTTAGGAGAAGGAACTTACTCAGAAAATCAACCTAGGTCTTCTGGGGGATGATCAGCATTTACCATCTGACAAGTGGGAGAATCACTTTAACCCTAAAACTTGCGTTTCCTGAGGGTTCTTTCTATTAAATGGAGGGTGCATTTCATGTGGTGGAATCGATGATTTATGAAATTATTTTGATTTTAAAAATATGCCAAATAAGATAATCTTCTGGAGCCCAAGATACAGTCATTTGAATACTATTTGCCATATCCAAGACCTTTGGAAAGAGTAAATATTTCAGGACTGCAGATAAAATGTAGACTTTCACCACTGTGTTGGTGAGCAACAGGTCCTGCTGCTGGAGAAAAAGCTCATATGAACATTTTAGTGAGTGAAACCCCCAACTTCTCGGGGCCAAGAAGAGTCTAACAGCCTCAGCAAAATGCTCCGGGGGTCAGTCATTGCCAGTTAATTGGAATTGGCTTTTGAAGAAATAAAGACACTTGGCATTTGCATCTGGTCTCTTCCTCACATTCTGGTTGAGGACATTGTGGTTTGGCAGGTTCAGTAAGCTGTCTGCTCCCTCCCTGCTTATCCGCATCAGGACAGAACTCATTTCTTGATTCTCATTCCTGGGCAGTTTGTTGGAAACATTTGGAATGTAAATTCACCTGCCAGTTACTTCTAAGTATTGTGCTTTCTTTCAGTGACATGCCTATGCTGATGCAGAAACTTCATCTGTGATGAACAGTGCAGTTTTATCATATGGCTTCCTGCGCAATTGAGAAAGGTGGTTATCGACTATCTTGACCATCCTTTCTACTAGAGTGCTAGTTCATTGGTCATGAAGATGTCTTCTGTTTTATCTTCCATGGAACATTCAGTGTGCCTTGACTGTGTTTGTTCAGTAAATTATTGGTTGCTGCTCTGGTTGTGCAGTGTGGATTCATTTTAGTTTTGTGGTCTTGAAACTTGGGAATTTTTAAAACTGAAGGAGAGGACATTATGTGTCTGAGATTAAGCTGTATTAGATGTGTACCGAGTTGATACCCTTGATCATTCAGAATTTTTCTTTTTGTTTTCATCACTGGTGTAAATATTGAGGGAGCAGCTGGATTAAAATCATTCTTTTAGTTCATCTCCTGAGAGAGAAAGAAAATTTGTCTTGTGACCTTTTTTTTATATCTGTAATTGACTTAAGATTGAATTGAACAAAATATAATTCGGAATGCCTAGGTGTTAAAGTTTTTATGTATTAAAACTTCCCTTTAATATCATCACTTCTCTAGAACAGACAAGTCCTTTGTTTTGTATAGGATCAGGGACAGCTTAGAGAACATTAATAGGATAATAAAAATGGCCCCTAAGCAAACACAGGATCAAGGAGATAGTGGTTGCCAGCATCTTGGTTGTCACTGGCTCTGCAGGTTCACCGTGGACATGCAGCCAAGCTGGTGGGCTGCTGGGTCCCTCGGCGCTGGCACAGTTCACAGTGTCACCTCAGTGCTGCTGAAGCTATGCAGCTCGTGTTCTGTGAAAAGTAAATCTAAATCGTGTTCTTAATTGCGTTACAAAACTCATTATTTAAAAGGGTATTTTTGTAATAAAATAGTTATCCCCAACTTCTGTCTGGTAAAGTTGTTTTCACGTTTTTGCTTGTCCTTCCTCAGGTCGGATCAGTTACAGTGGGACAGTTTCGCTCCACTTTCCATCCCTTGTTAACGTGGAGTCACACTGAAAAGTGTTTTGTATACGGTCATTTTTGGCAGCATCCTACTCCCAGGTCACAGACTGAAGAGTATAGTGAGGGGATTATCTTGCCCCCATTTCCTTCCCTTTTCTCACTGATTTCTTCTTTTTACTGACTTGCCTTCATTTCGGATTCCCAATATAGATGATTTTGGCTTAAGGAGGTGAACTCTTATGAAATGGGGAGACCCATCCACTCAAGTCTAGTTATTGTATCTTCATATCCTGATAGCTCACTCCTCCTGTAATGTGCGCCAGCTTCCCCTGGGAGTCAGAAAATCAGTGAAGAGGTTCCTCATCCATCAGAGATTGCTGTAAATATGTAGCTATTAGGTTGTAATTTTTGGTTGTCATTTTGTAGTACGTGTGTTTTTTTTTGTTGTTGTAAAATCAGTAATTTCATTAGTGTGTAATTTGTACTTCAATATTATTTTTAAAAGTGTAGAATGCTTATCATATCTTGACCCAGGACACTTTTCATTCTCAGGATACCCAACGTGTCCTTATTTACTCTGTTTTTTGGAGAAGTATTCCCAGAATGGCTCAGGGCTCTCCCCAAGACAGAATTTATCACTTAAATTAGAGAAGTAAGAAAAAAAGCCATTGGCCCTTTTAATCTCTTCTTCCAAATTAGTAAAAGACTTTTGAAGTAGAAAAGGATTTTGCCCAGATGGCTAGGGCTACAAACCTTCATTCCCATCCGTCACTCAGAGAATTCAAAGAAGATGCCAATTAGGGATGAGTCTATAGTTACTACCGTTTTGCCTACTTAATTGGCTCTTTGCGGTAAAAAGGACTGTTACAAATACTATTACAACTCTAGATACCTTTTTTTTTTTTTTTTAAAATGTGTTTGCCTCTGAAGGCACGCCTGTTGTCAATGGCCTGATTTGTGGTGTTTCTCACCTCAGTGGGGCTGGGACACCTTTTCCTCTGTGGACAGGTTGGGAGGCATGCTCAGCAGGGCAGAGGGGCTCAGGCACTGGCACCGCCCTGCTGTTGCTCCCCAGACAGCAGTGTGGAAATGTCCTCCTCTCTTCTGCTGAGTGGACTTGGAGCAGCTCTCCAGTCTCTGGGAAGTGAGGAATCACTGTTTTTAAGTTTAAGGCACTTCCGTTTCTTCTCTTCCTGTGCCTGCTGCCCGTCTTGAAGTTACACACAAGCATGAAGTCTGCTTTTGGTGTGTGTAGTGGGGTTGCTTACTTTGTTTCAGCATTTGTGGTATGATTACATGTCTGCTATTTGGTTTTCATTTGATTTATGAAACAAATATTGATCCCTTTATATACCAGGAACTTTTATAGATACTGGCAATACTGAACTTTTCACAAGTTAGAGTCTGATAGACAAACCAATCCTATGGCCTGTGTTAACTGCTGTGATGGCAACATGTAAAGTGTGCCTTGGGACCACTGAAGGTTTTGTGAAACCTGGAACATGTTAGGAATGTCAGTGATCAACGAATAGTTTAGTGGAGGAAACAGCTTGTTTTGACAACTCTTGAGAAGCTTAGCGACAAAGAGTAGAGAAGAGATATTTTTTTTTTATCCTCACCCGAGGACGTTTTTCCATTTTTTGTTCAGGTAGAGTGGGAGGGAGAGAGAGGAACAGAGAGAGAGAGAGAGAGAGAGAGAGAGAGAGAGAGAGACATCGACGTGAAAGGGACACATCGAGTGGCTGCCACCCGCACGACCGACCAGGGCCGGGGACAAACTGCAACCGAGGTACATGCCCTTAGCGGGAACCGAACCCGGATCTCTCTGGACCGCAGGCCGATATTCTAACCGCTGAGCCAAACCGGCCAAGGCTGAGAAGAGAGATTTTAATAGAGGAAGATTGGGTCACAAAGGTTGTATATGTATGTATTTAAAGTTAAGCTCAGTGGGAGAGGTTGAAGATGCAAGATGTGTCTTTATTTTGTCTTATGGTTGGAGGATGGCTGCCACAATTTCAAGTGTCATCAGTAAATATGACTAAGTTTCTTGGTAGAAGACTATTTTTTTCCTGGGATGTCTTTTTGCCAGTGAGAAAACTTTTTCCCAAAGCCTCGTAGTAGTAGATGCCATCCTGACTCATTCCTCGTCAGGGTTCATGGGCCAGCATTGCACAGAAACTCGTGCCTGATCAGCCAGTGTCAAGGGAAACAACCGCTGGGCCGGCCTGAAATGGATCAAGTTCATCTTGAGTCGGGACTGGAGACTGCTTCCTGGAAACATGGCCTGAGGTGGGGAGGAGCTTTGTGAGCACAGTCAGGGATTGGTTAGAGCTGAGGGTGAGCACTGCTGGGTCCCTAGTGTCTTCCTGCTGCTGCTAATGCCAGCACGCACACAGACACACGCCAATGGTAGACACACACGGCACACAGACACACGCCAATGGTAGACGCACATGGCACACAGACACACAAGGCACAGACACAACACACAGACACCGTGTGCAGACGACACAACACAGACACACCAATCGTAGACGCACACGGCACACAGACACACACCAGTCGTAGACGCACACGGCACACAGACACACACCAATCGTAGACGTACATGGCACACAGACACACCGCGTGCAGACACACGCTGTGGAGCACAGAGAGAAAATATACTTGAATTTGTATTTGGAACTTTGGGTGATATTTCCCTATTCTGTCTCGTTACATTTTCACAGGTACCAAGTATTACTTTTACAATCAGATTATTCAAATAAATGTTTTGTTTAAAGATGATTTAAAAATTGAATATGCCCTTTCTATCCAAGAAATGATATACAGAAGGAATATGTTTTGCTCAATATTCTAAACAGTTCTAAAGTTCTTTGCCATTCTTTTAATACTTTTAGAGTAAGGAGAATAGATGGTATCTCGCCGCTTCTGATTGTGAATGTACCAGGAGAACTCTGCTCTCTCAGTCTTCAGGGCATCCCACCTGCAGTGTCTGTGGCTCGCACTGGGTGACGAAGCTAGCCTGGCTTGAATACCGTGGTCAGTCCATGGATTGCAAGGGGAGGATTCTCTGGAACCCAAACTCTTACATCAGGGGTACAGATAGGAACATCGCTCTCTCTCTACCCACATTCTCTTTTTAGGAGGGAAAGCCGACCTGTGGTTAGCTTATTGCCATTCTCTTCAGACTTCCAAAATAACGCCACTTTTAAGTACGTACAGCGTTCTTGTAGGGCTCCTGACCACTCACAGGACCCGCACCTGCTGTTCCTGCTTTTTCGTCTCAACCCAGACTTTGTGCTTTGTGTGGTGTATGAAAGGCAAACAGAGAATGTTAATATGTAAACACTTAGTGTTCTACATTTACAAGATAGAAATTAATTGCTCATAGTTTTTTTTTTTTTTTCTAATGTGATAATAACTGTAAAGGCTGTGACAAATGGTTAGCGTGGACTTCAGGAATGGTATTACTTTTTTGGATAGAATTTAGAAAAAAGACTTGTAATATGCCCAAAATAATTTTTGTCTCATAAAAACAATAGTATTTACCTACTCAGTTGTTCCGAAAATAATATCTGAACTGAGAACTATGTCACCTTTTTCTTTTAACAGGCCTCAGATTATTTTTTGACTAAATCTTGTGATTATTGTCTTTTGTAAGGTAGCTGTTGAGGACTTTGGTGGAAAGTGTACAGCTTGGAAACCCCCATTTCAGAAGTTACCATTAATAACAAGAACTGGGCCCTGGCCGGTTTAGCTCAGTGATTAGAGCGTCGGCTTGTAGACCAGAGTCCCTGGTTCAGTTCCTGCCGCAGTGGTTCTCAACCTTCTGATGCCGCGGCCCTTTAATACAGTTCCTCATATTGTGGTGACCCCTAACCATAAAATTATTTTTGTTGTTACTCCATAACTGTAATTTTGCTACTGTTATGAAACACCATTGGTAATATTTGTTTTCCGATGGTCTTAGGTGACCCCTGCGAAAGGGTCGTTCAATTCCCAAAGGGGATGCAACCCACAGGTTGAGAACAGCTGTGTTAAATGCATGTACCTTGGTTGCAGTTTGTCCCTGGCCCTGGTTGGGGTTGTATGGGTGGCAACCA